AAAAAAAAAAAAAAAAAGCTTCCCCCCAACCCCGGGTCATGGATTCAGTGGTGAGGCTGCACCCAACCCTGACACAGCACAAGGCCTGGGCCTGCCCCAGAAACACCCTGGGGTCCTGCCCCTCTGCGCCAGGCACACCAGGTGTGGGGCAGGCAGGCTCAACCAGACAGGATCCAAGTGTGGAGCAGCGCAGTGAGGATGAATCCAGGGGTGGGGTGAGAGGATTCTGTGTGGGTGCAGGCAACTCAGTGGAGGGGGTCTAGGTGTGGGGGAATCTGGATGCACAGAGGCTCGTGCGGGGGTTCTAGGTGCAGGGGCAATGGGACTCTGCAGGGGCTTCCAGGTGAAAGTGGTTGGGGCTCAGTGGAGGGGCCTGGGTGTGGGGTCTCAGCAGGGGCATCTCAGTGCTGGAGGAGTAGGACATGGTGGGGTGGGGGTCTGGGTGCAGCCAGTTGGGTCAGTGGTGTGGGGGGTCTGGATGTGGGGGCTCAGGCTTGTCAGGGAGCTCTGGGGGTGGTGGTCTGGGTGCAGAGGTGGGGGGGTCTGAGATTCAGTGGGGTGGGGTTCAGGTATGGAGGGCTAGTGGGATTCTGGGCATACAGGGTGAGGCTTGGCAGGGGTTTCTGGGTATGGGAGGTCCGGATGAACGGTGGTTGGGCGGATGGGGGAGCAGCTCCCTGTACAGTGACCCCACCCCTCCCCCTGTAGCTGAGGAGCAATGGGGGCAGGAAGCAAGGGAGGATGCTGAGCTTCCTGCAGCTGGGGCAGGTTTCTAGGGCTGGGTCTGACACAGCCCCAGCCACTCCTTGCAGGGGAAACGGAAGTCCTGTCCTCTCCTGCCTCTAGCCCAAGCTGGGACTAGCAGCTGATCCCGGCTCAGGGTAGGAGCCACTGGCTGGGGTGTCCCCAGCTCTGCGGTGATGTACCTTTCCGCCAGCTGCTCTCAGGGCCGCCCAGAGGATTCAGGGGGCCTGGGACAAAGCAGGGGAGCTGCGGCGCTTGTACTCACCCGGCGGCAGTCCGGGTCTTCGGTGGCATTTTGGCAGCGGGGGGCCCTTCAGTCGCTCCGTGTCTTCGGCAGCACTGAAGGCCCCCCCCCCCCCCCCGCCGCCAAAATGCCGCCGAAGACCCGGACCGCCGCTGGACCAGGGCTCGTGGGGTCCCTTCAGGGCCTGGGGCAAATTGCCCCACTTGCCCCCCCCCAGGTGGCCCTGGCTGCTCTGGGTGCCTGAAAAAATGTACCTGCCCTGCTAGGGAGTGGTGTGTTACTGCTCTTGCAGCTTTCCTTTGCTTCTCTGTCAAAAAGTCATTTTTCTGTGGGGAAGCAAAGAAATCTATGGGAGACATGAATTCTACACATGCACAGTGGTGCAGAATTCCCCCAGGAATATACTTTGTAAACACAAGTTTAATTTTTGTTGGATTGTTTGTTTTCTTTTTTTCTTTCACAAGTGATATTTACACAACAAACACATTTCGGGAGTAACTTGGTTACAACATTGTCGTTCCCAGCATAAGTAAATCAAATTTCCATTTTGCTGTGTAGCTGGGACCTAACCATGTTTAAAGAATTATGCTAAAGTCGTGAACTCTCAAATTCACATAATTTAACTTTTTTTCAGTATTGGTAGTTGAACATCAAATATATAAAATAAAATTAATGTCACAAAATATATTGAAAAGTTACTTGTATCTCCACTATGTTTTTTTTTTCTTGGCAAATTTTGAGTGCCAACCTACTGAGGACAGCATTTCCTAATTTCTATTTACAAGAGGGAACTACAAAAGCCCAGCAAAATTAAGTAGCAAAAATATGGAATCCTAAAAGATAGTAGGCCAGTGTTTTCTCCATTTTAATATATTGGGCCAGTATAGCTTGAATGTGGAAGTCAGAACTAACATAGGGCATGATTCAAAGCTCATTGAAGTCAGAGGGTCTCTTTCCATTGATTTCAGTAGGCTTTGCATTAGGTCCATAATTGACAGCATGGTACTTGCCTCTTCGAGTTTTTGCTACACTAGTGAGATACTATCAAACTCTGCTTGGAGAGGAACAGCAGTAGGGGGACAAATATTTTGTGAAGTTAATTTAGTAGTGTTGATATTCTGTGTAATTTGTACAACTATTGAGACATTTTTATTTTATATGCAGTAACCGAAATGTAAAAAGTTTGATAAATTAGACACCCACTCAAAAACTGATCATAGTGCTTACTGTCATATTTTTTTTTCTCCCCTTTCAATTCCGATGTGGTTTTAGCAGCCATTATTTTAGGAGTCCCTAGAGTTAAAGGTTATTGCTTTATGCTATTTGGGATTCTGAACTTTCAGCTGATGAGTACAACATTGGTTCGATTTCTAGCAATTTGTAAGAGAGCATCTGCTAAAGTAAGAGCAGAACTATTTCCTGCATACGGGCAGGAAATAATAACCAGAATAATGTGATGTTGTTGTCTGACACCTTGCAGACTACCCCAGATAAATACAAATGTTCTGCTCCTTGAGAGTTTTCCTGGTGTCTAGCCCTGATGGTCTGCAAGATATTAGACCTTAAAATATTTAGTAGTATTTGGACAGGCATTAATTTATTTTAACATGGTTTTCTATTTTTTTGCTCTGGTCCAGGACTTATTGTAACTCATAATGGACCTTGGACTCTTATAACTTTTTTTAATATTGATTTTCTTTAGGATTCTCCAATAGGAAAATAAAACTCATGATTTGTAAAGTGTGTCCTGAAAAATCATACCTTTCTTTTAGTCAAGTTTTAAGAATATCATAGCTCCCTAGTAAATTCCACGTAAAAGTCTAAGGTAAAATAGTAGATGAAAACTCCATAAGAATTGTCTGATGAAAATCCATAACAATTGTCTGATGATATAATGAAAATATACAGTCTCAAGACTGGTAGGTAGGCAGTTAAGGAACAGTCTGGAGTTTTCACCCATGTCTTTGAAATGTAACATGTTCACGTCCCAGAGAAGGCCTAGATCACATAGCCACAGGAGACTAAGAGCTTGCCAAATGTCCACACCCAAACATCTTCTCTGACAGATTTCTCTGTAAGTATCTTAAATTTGTCCCAGCCAAATTGGCTTGTAGAAATTATTCTTTGCCTCTTAGGCCAGATTTTCTGAAAGATAACCCTATCTCCTGGTAATGGCATGTATGGTGAATAGAATCTTCAGAAACATTTGTGGATATTTCAAGGCTTCCTTTAATATAGGATGAGGATATTTCATAAGCACTTGAAATTGAATTTCTAATGATCAGATGCATCAAGAAAGCATACCAGGATTAGTTAGGCCAGTTTCATAGAATATCAGGGTTGGACGGGACCTCAGGAGGTCATCCCATCCAACCCCCTACTCAAAGCAGGACCAATCCCCAGACAGATTTTTTTTCCCCAGATCCCTAAATGGCCCCCTCAAGGATTGAAGTCACAACTCTGGGTTTAGTAGGTCAATGCTCAAACCACTGAGCTACCATCATAGTTTTTTTCTAATGTCCTTACAACTGTGTGTGAGAGTGTGAGAAAATAAATTCTTAGCGTAGCTTTAATGTTGCTCTTTTATATTTTTTCCAATAGCACTCATCCACTCTTTTTCCATGTTGCCTCTTCTAGGTACTTCATATTTAACAGATATAGTATGGTGGTCTGGTACTATTGCAAGTAAGTATCTAATGTTGTAAGATAATGTAAAGAATGGTGTAGCATAGATGATTGGATTTTAAATAGCCTATTATGTATTGTAGTGTTGATTTTAGCACAGCTCATTAGCCTTCACAGAGTTATCTTTCTACCAAAATGTAAGAAGCCTCTGATATGGAAATTATTAGCACTCACACAATAACTGTACCTGTGATGCATTTGTGAATTGTGATAGTAAGGTCAATTTTTTTTAAAGGCAGTTTAATAAGAAATTGTAATTCCATACCATAAGGCTTATTTATTATATGTTAATTTTTAGATCAGAAAACACTTAGCCAACTTTCACCTTTAGTATTTTGTCATTTCTAGCTACAGTAACTTTTTGTCACTCTACTGCAAAACGTAGGCTGCTGAATCCTTGGGCAGTGCTGTGTATGAGATGAGTACAGACCTCTTTGACCCTTACTCGCACAAATAGTCTAACTGATAACTCTGAATGAATTGGTGATGTGGAATCCAAGAAAAGATAAAGAGTAGCTAGCATGTTCTATTCTCAGTTCAGTTAGTGGGAAAGATGGCGTCGTACCTTTGTACTCTAATCTAATCTGTTGGGGACTATTAGTATTGCTGTGATATGGGTTCCTTCAATGTATGTAAATCACAAATAGTCATTAGACTTTCAGTAGTGTTCCATGTGGTGCAAAGGAAATGGAAACCACCAGGTTCCTTGATGAGGATTCTCTCCATGTGGGAAAGTCTTCTGCAGCAAGTGTAAAGCCAGCAGAGTGGCTCCTGTGTCTCCAGAGTACTACCCATGCTTCTTTAACCTGGGTTGGGATGGAATTTGGGAATCTGTAATCAGCTCCCTGACAGCCCTGCTACTCTGCTCTGACCACTGGAAGCTGGGTGCAATAGCAATTCTGTTCTATAGTGTTTAAAATGAGCCTGTCTGCTCATTTGTTGTGAGGCCTCCGTTTTGACTATCTGGACAGAAGGAGTGAGAAAAAGAGAAAGGGATTTCTCAATGAGCCAATGTAACCCTGAATAAGCCAACTGACTGAGTTTTGTGAAGCCAAAATTGCTCAAGAGAATGATGTGTTGGCTGCTATCCATCAGTTGGCATGTCAAAACTAGGCATCTAGCAGCTTATAAAAGCACCATGGAAAGAGTTAACTAGAACGGTGGCTCTCGACCTTTCCAGACTACTGTACCCTTTTCAGGAATCTGATTTGTCTTGTGTATCCCAAAGTCTCACTTAAAAACTAGTTGTTTACAAAATCAGACATAAAAATACAAAAGTGTCACAGCACACTATTACTGAAAAATTGCTTATGTTCTCATTTTTACCAGATAATTATAAAATAAATCAATTGGAATGTAAATATTGTGCTTACGTTTCAATGTATAGTGTATAGAGCAGTATAAACAAGTCATTATCTGTATGAAATTTTAGTTTGTACGGATTTTGCTAGTGCTTTTTATGTAGCCTGTTGTAAAACTAGGCAAATATGTAGATGAGTTTATGTACCCCCTGGAAAACCTCTAAGTACCCCCAGGGGTATGTGTACCCGTGGTTGAGAACCACTGAACTAGAATGCTGTGGATTCAGAATTTCAATCCAGTCACAAACAGCAAGAACCAGGTAGAGAACTGTGAAACCCAAAGAAGGGTGGATTCTTTGGAATCTAGTAAATATCCACAATGCCTTGGGGGAAATACAGCAGTTGATATCCTATACATTAGAAATTGGCTTGTTTGGGATTTTGGATGACTAACAAAATCATCGGAGACTCTTATCAGTTTGCCTCCCACAGGGCCGGCTCCAGGCACCAGCCCACCAAGCTTGTGCTTGGGGCGGCACCTGGAGGGGGGCGGCACAGCGCTCCAGCCGCCGGGGAGAGTGGGGCCACGGCCGGGCTCGCCGCCCTCCCCCCGGCGCTCTGGCCGCCCTCCCCCCCGGCGCCCTCCCCCCGGCCGCCGGGGGGAGAGCAGAGCCCCCGCCGGGGCTCGCCGCCCTCCTCCCAGGGCTCCGGCTGCCCTCCCCCCCCCGGCG